TGGTGAGCACCTCTGAAAAATCAGACCATATTGATACAGGTGACTAGCTATTGATTCTGAAGTCTAGTTTGAGGTGCCTAGGTCTGCTGTTTTAGCCAAAGTTATTTTTCAGCGGTCTATTTACAAAACCAGCTTTCAAAATAGCATGTGCAGTGTTGTGCCTGCCAGTACACACATGCAAATCATTCTGCAGGTACAGATAACTGAAGGAGCAAAGTAAGAGTCTAGGTTGAGACCTGTTTAGAAATCTGAGCATGAAATCTGTTTTTAGGAGAAGCACACCAGGCAAACAGATAGGAGCCAGCCCAGCATCCTGTGGTTGGCCCACAGAGGGATCGTTGAAAACGGTATTTAAAAAAGGCTGTACAGAGAGCTGTGCTCAGTTGGACACTGAGCCGTTACCACATAAACCTCATTGCAGGATTGGAGTCCTATGCATAGTGCTGCTGAATGTAATCAATTTCCAGGCACACGTAAAGACCCACCTGCATCCCTCTCACTGCTGGGTTGCAGTCGCTTGCTAAATGTTCCACCTCAGAGCATGTTCCTTGCTCCCAAAAGGCAGGCAGCAGAGAGAATAAGGTAATTCAGGGGAGGCTTATCAGTATATTTCTCCTTTTGTGCAGCACAGTTATGCCCAGAAGTGATTCAAATGTGTGAAATGACCAGCCCTAAATCTGTTTTCCCTTCCCAGAGCTGCATATCCAAAACTTACATTGTGGTGGATGGCTCTCTTGGCAACATCAGGCATCACTCTGCAACATGCTCAATAGCAGTTAAAAATCTACCTAAGTGCCTTTCAGTTCCTGTGTTGCTCTGTTCTCCTTGGATTGATTTCCTTTCCTGTCTCAGACCTCTCCCCCATCAACTGGAATGAGCAAGTGAATGAACAAATCAATAGATAAATCCAAGTATTTCAGCAAACAGTCACTTTTGCCAGGGGAAAGATATCTGGGGTCCTGGGTATCATTGTGGTGCCAAGCATCTTAGTAATGTGTGATATAGTAAAGCTAAAATAGAGCAGAAATGAATTAACTATAGTGCAAGTGTGAGGGAGAGCCTGACACCCCTATCACTTGCTCTCAATTGATTCTGTAACTATACAGTAAATTACCCAGTAAAGACAGTTTCCAGGCTGCTTGCTACCTGCTGCTTTGTTACCACAGTGCCATGTGTGGAGGGCCAGTTTTATCATCAAAGGAAAAAATGACTGCCTTCTTGGATATAATTTTTTCCAGGGACGTTGGGGCTATAAATTTATGTCAATCTGTTGCTGGCTTGGGCATTAATAGTCATTGGCTTTATCCAAGTGTCCACCTATGGCATTGAATTGCCTTGTGTTCTCAGAAGCCTGGGGGTTCTTTTGTTAACTTGCTAGCCCGGCCCCACACAAAGGGGAAGGGTAGATGCAAAAGTCATACTGTTTCAAATTGGTGAACTCAAGACTTTAGGAGCAGCATTGCTGGTAGCAGCTCAGATTGTTTCTGAGTGTGTCCCCCTCTGCAGTCTAGCTTCTTCCCTCACAGAGAGGAGTTTTGCAATGGGATAATACTACAGTAATCCGCAATAGAGCTGATTTCAAGGGAAAAAGGAAAATAAATACATTCTTAATGAAAGCTATTGCTCTGTGTAGCATTCTCTTCTGTTGGCCCTCAGTCCAACTGTCCATTAAGTTAGCTTGATGCCTAGTTACTGGTAGTAGCATGGTGGGAAATCAGGAGCTAAATTGTGACTCAGACTCAGTCTAAGGGAATAACAGGGATTAAAATCTAGCAGTTGGGCCTATGGTGTAATGGTGCTACATATTTGCAATTTTCCATTGTAGAATATGTTATAAGAGGGTAGGAAAAGCTTTGGCCCATATGCCAGTTGGCACAGCTGATTCAGTGTGGTAGAGGATGTAATTTAGTATTGGTATTGGGCAGTAGCAAGCTGCCACATCCCAGGAATAAGGGAATGGCTATGAGGGAATCATGCCTTTAAGAAGTGACTCTAAACTGGATGCTTTCAATCCTTTCAAGCATCTTGCTTGGTGCCACACACTGTTAATGCGGTTAGGTGTGCTAACATGAGATTAACCTAGGGATTTCAAATAGGAATCCACAGTATGAAAAGCATTCTGACCTGTTGTGGCCTTTCTCCAGTCTTTGTAACAGAAGAATTTGATCTAGTATTTTTCCTTACTCAAACTAAGAGTTGGCATTTTCTAAGGGGTGCCTTGAGCCTAATGAGGGGTGCCTCAAATCCATGAGTGACTAGTGCCTCCTGAATCTGGGGGGACACCCGCAGAAGCCACCGACTTGGTGGCCCTGTCGGGGGGGCACTAGCCCCATCAAGGGGGCACATGCAGCCCCTACCAGTCGCCTATGCTCAAATCTAAAAAAGGTTGAGAACCACTGCTCTAAGGCCATCATGCTCCTCTATACAAGCACCAAGGTAAAACCTAACTCCATGCAATCAAATGATGGAGGACTTGGAAGTTTTAATGTAGAGATATTGAGAAGGCCAAAAGCAGGTTGTGGAGCAGAGGTAATGTTTGTTCTGCCAAAATGCTTTCTGGCTGGAAGCTGGAGAAACAGAGAGAAGGGAAATGGAGGAGAGTATGCAGTAATGCCCCATATCCCTTATACTTATAAGCCTCAGGGCTTGCCTGGGAACGGACTCTTTGTTGGTCTCATTCATACTGGATCAGTAGGTTCTGAACACTTAGCACACCAGATTTTAAAGAGCTCATTGCCCAGCAGCTCCCACTTAAACATCTCAATAACTGCTCCCTTTTATGTATTTAAATGGCCCAGTGAGACAGTTAATGCTTTCCAGTGTTCAGAATAGGTTGGCCAACTAGGCCCAAACTAGAAAATGAGGCATCACAGTTACACCCTTTTGTATGCACTGAGTACGTTATAGTCTGTGAGTGCTTCAGATTCATTGAAGTCACAGAGTGGGTGCCAGAACTTGAATGTATTTCAACTCCACTTAGAATGAGACTTAACTTTGCTTTTACAGAGATGTTCCTTCTGCAGCCTGTGCAGTAATAAAGGCAGCCTGGTGTGTACACAGTAGTTGGCTCATAAAAAGCAATTATCAGATGAGGAAGTCATTGCCTTTTCTCCCTTTTTAGTTAGAACCAAGTTTAGTTATTAACCAAGTTTTTAAAAATAAGCAGTAATTAAATATGAATTGAACCTAATCCCACAGCAATTATATTGATCACCATCCCCCTCTGCTGCTTTCCACATGCTTATGAAGCTACTCATTTTAAATAAAATGACCAGAAAAGGAACATTGGTTGCCATGGCTGGATTACCAGCTGTGGAGGAATTCAGTTCAGATAAGAAAAGTGACAAAGGAGATGTATCATGGACCCTGTGTTTTGACCAGTAAGCCTCCCTACAACACACTGCCAACCCCACTTGGGTTAAATTAATCTCCCTAAAATCAGTGAGGCTACATAGGTAAACCAAGCAAAAGTTAGCTTTGGGACTGTCATTCTAAGCTTGCTTCAGAACCATATAAAGTACAGACTCCTCTTCGGGTTTCTCTCCTACTGAACACAGAGTGTGATTCTCATTTAGACTTTGTCTCTTTACATCATTGGAGCAGCATAAGAGAGCAATAAAGTGAATGTGTATTACGCCTACACTTGCTTTATGCCTTCTGCAGTCTGCCCTTAGGGTTATTTAAATGATCTCTAAAATAGAAAGCATATAAGCTGTCTCAGTGAGTTTCTGCCCCAAACCTTTGCAGCAACACAAGCTGTACTTGCCTGCGCACAGAATCTACTTCCTCACAAAAATGCCGTCTTCACATATGAGGCCAGATTTTGTTAGCATTGGAAAAAGGGGTTGACACAATATTGGCATCATGGAAACATAAGGGACTGACCAATTTTGAAGTTACTTGAAATTAAACCAGGGCAAAACCTACATAGGATCAGAATTGAGCCCTAAGTGTGCTAAATTATGCCTGTAAGTTTAGACTCTCACTTGTGCCTCCTCCATGGACACCTTAAATCACTCCTCTGGAGAGGTTGAGTTTTCTGGATGTCCTTTTTATCCCTTCCATGCAGGATTTCGGGTCTGCTTTTCAGAACTGTTGAGCAATCACAGCTGCCTTTGGAGTCAGTGAATGCTGCAGATGCTCATCAATTCTGAAAAGCAGGGCCTTGATGACTTGACCTCTTGGCTTTACCTCAAGAAAGCTGTGGAAGCTGTATGTGGAATGGTTGACAGTACTGGTATAAACCTCAAACTGTGGCTAGTGATAACAGCAAGTCAGAGCAAATATGTAGTTTGCAAAGAGTCAGTGATGGTTGAAGGATTTGGTTTTTTTAAAATGTATTTTAATGCCATCTATCAGATTTGGATGCTCAAGGCTGCTTTGAAACTATCCAGGTGTGTCTACAATGCAGCTACTGCTGTGACTGCAGCTTGTATAGACACCCCCAAGCCAGCTTTAAACAATCCAGCACTTGCATCTCAAGCATGTAGTTATGTAGTCACAGCATCAGTTCAGCTCAGGCTAGCTGTTGGAATATTCACCCAGCTGCCCCGGGGGCATATGGGGTTTGCAGCCTGCCCTGAGCTATGCACTGCTTTGGCTGGATGCTGGAGGTACCCAAATCAGGTACCCAAATCAGCAGTGGCTGTAGCGGAGATGTACTCTCTGCCTAAATTTGTTTACAGAGGGCAAGAAGTTTCAGAGAGATCTGTAATTACTTTGGGGCTGTTGAAGCTTATGCACAATCAGCTGTCTTGCTGCTGGAATTGCTTGCATTTCTGAACATGCCCTCATCTTTTCATTGAGAGTTCAAGATCATAAAAATGCCAATTTTATTACTATCGAGGGCACTGATTAGTATTCAGAGGACAGCATCTTTTGTGGAGTTTGCCTTTCTACTCTATGCTTGTTTAATTCATTTGAATGGATTCTCATTACATAACTTTGCACACATCTTACTCTTTATACTAGTTTAATTCAAGGCTTATGCTTGTTTGCAGAACAACACAGTTTGGAAGCCAGATTCTTGCCAAGACTGCGGTTGCCATAGTAATATTGTCACCTGTGAACCTGCTGTCTGCAGACACCCTCGGTGCGACTTTCAGAAGGTAAGGAGTTGTCCATGTGCTAGCTGGATCACTGTGCAAGGGAAAGGGAAGCACTTGGGTCATGTGTTCCTTGCCTATTTTTAGTTTTGACCCTCTGGATAAGCTATGGATTTGTGGAAGTGTTGTTTTGGAACATACACAATTTGCAATCTGTTGGAATGAGCATTCAGAGGGGGCTTGGGCTGGATAGCCACTATATAGAACTCCCCTTGTCTTCAGTGGGACTCAAGTCTGGGGAGGAAGTATAGGGTCAGACCATTTGGGAGTTAAACATGTGACCACAGAGGGCTGTCTGTACCACCCAACTGCACCCCAACAGGACTGTTGCCTACAGGACCCCAAGAATCCAATTTCCAGAGGGAAGTGTATGAAGTGAAAAGTCGGTAGAAGATGCTGGCTCATCAAAAAGACGCCCAGTTTGTACTGATGTAAGCAGCTATGTCAGGGGTGGGCAATTATTTTGGGCAGAGAGCTGCTTACTGAATTTTGGCTATCTGTTGAGGGCTGCATTGGTAGCCCAGCCCCTTGACATGTGCCCCACCCCCTGGTCACCATCTTGCGACCGGGCGTCCCACCCCCTTAACCTCTGACTTTTGCCACCAGAAGTCCCTCCCCTTGCCCCTGGAAGTACTCCTTTGGGGAAGAGGGTTTGCTATCTTAGGGGAACCCCCCCCCCCAAATTATATGCTAAAAATCAAACACCCATAATAATATATTTTAATTTAATTTAAAAAATATATTTTTGATCTGATTTGTGTGCGTTTGTCTTGTATATGTAGAAGTGATTTAATATATTTCATAGAGATATATGAGATAATTGGGTCCAGCCCCACCCCTGCCATAGGCGGAAAGTCAGCTGGAATCAAGTGACCCCATCAAGAAATAAATCCAGCTGTTTTCTGAAGGAGTCCAGAGTAGGTGCTTGCACCACCTCTGCGGGGAGTTTGTTCCAGACCCTAGACATATGCACCACAAAGAACTTTTTTCTTATATCCAGTCTAAATCACCCTTCCTGGAGTTTATGGCTGTTAGACTTTGTTATCCCTTGGGGAGCTCTGGTGAACAGATGTTCTCCCAGGTCCTGATATACCCCTCTTATGAAGTTGTAGGCTAACACCAAGCCCCTGCCCCCACCCCCACCCCGAGCCTTCTCTTCTCCAGACTGAAGAGTCCTAAGTACCTCAGCCTCTCCTCGTATGGCCTTCCCTTTAGGCCCTGGATCATATGAATGGCTCTCCTCTGGACTCTCTCAAGCTTCTTCACATCCTTCCTGAAGTGGGGGGCCCAATACTGGATTAAGTACTCCAGCTGTGGTCTCACCAGGGCTGAGTAAAGTGGGAGGATGACTTCCTTGGTTTTGCTTGAGATGTATCGGTGGATGCACACCAGAGTTTGGTTAGGTTTGCCAGCCACAGCATCACGTTGGTAGCTCATATTCATCTTGTGGTCAGTCAAGACCCCCAAGTTCCTTTTGGTCGTGGTGCTAGTGAGTCTAGCACTGCCAAACCTGCAAGTATGCTGAGGGTTCTTCCTACCGAGGTGCAGCACCTTTGTTCTTCTCTACATTGAAAGCCGTCCTGTTTTGATCGGCCCACTTTGAGAGTGTGTCCAAGTCAGCCTGTCTTCCCACCCTGTCCTGGAGTGTCATGACCCTCACCCATAATCTGGTATCATCCACAAACTTGGCCAGTTCACATCTGACTCCTGAATCTAGATCATTGATGAAAATGTTAAAGAATACTGGCCCGAGTACCAAGCCCTGAGGAACTCCACTGGTAACCCTGCGCCACGTTGATTTGCTCCCTTCAACCAGTACTCTTTGGGTCCAGCCCCATAGCCAGCTGCTTAGCCATCAGACCATATGATGGTCATGAGGAACTAGGTCAAAGGCCTTCTTGAAGTCCACAAAAATGACGTCCACATCATCTCCCTTGTCCAGGGCATATGTTACCTGGTCATAGAAGGAGGTGAGGTTGGTCAGGCAAGACGTGCCAGTCACAAAGCCATGTTGGCGGACATTCAGAAGCTCGCTTTCTGTTAGTCTGGCATTCATGGATCCCTTGACAATTTTCTCCAGGACTTTTCCAGGGACAGACATCAGACTGATTGGTCTATAGTTCCCTGGGTCATCCCTCCTCCCTTTCTTGTAGATAGGGACCACATTGGCTCTTTTTCAGTCATCCGGGACCTCATCTGAATTCCACAATTTTTCAAATATCCCTGGCAAGGGGGATGCAATGATGTCTGCCAGCTCTTTCAAGGTTTCCATCTGGGGCTTTGCATCATCACTTATATGCAAGTGATTGCATAAAAGCTCAAAATGCCAGTTTACTTGTATATTGTGTGGGTTGTGCATGTGTGTCAGGGGGTATGGGGTGGGTGTGGGGTTTGTGGGGAGTTGTGGGTGGGTATGGGGGTTTGTGGGGATGTGCATGTGTGTGGGTATGATATTGTGGTTATGGGAGCCATGGGGTGTAGAGTGGCCGGTGGGTGGGCAGGAAAGTGGGGAAAGTGGTGGCAGGGGAGATGGGGAGTGGAAGTGAGTGGGCGTGCAGGAGCACGGGGCCCATGGACCCAGAGTGGGATGGCAGGAGCATGGAGTGTGGGCTGGCAGGGTTTCCCAACCTTTTTATACTGAGGACCTGCAAACTTTATAATTTATAGATTTAAATTTAATTTACATGTTTAAATTTAATTTTTATGGGGAGGTGGGGTTGCAAGGATTGGATGGGGTTGGGGCACCGGGGGACCTGGTAGGGGAGGGGGCTGCACAGGCAGTGGCCCAGGTGGACCCAGTTGGGGCTGCCCAGGAAGAAGGGGCTCTGCTGCCTTTCCTAGGAGGAAGCAGCAGAGCTGCCTCCCCATCCTCCACCCTGGGCATTTCCCTGCCCTCAACCCCCTGCTCCCAGCCGTGGGTGGGGCCGGAAGGTCCTGGCCAGCCTGCCACAGGCCCCAGTGCATGGGCCACACCTTACCAGGCTCAGCCATGGCGGTGGGAGTGGGACTGCTGCCTCCCTCCGAGGGCTGCTACACTGCCCACACCTAACTACCAGTGGCGGAAGCCACGGCTCCCATCCAGCTGCCGTGTGCCCATTTGCTTCCAACCTTACATGCCCCAGCCCTGTGACACAGGCGGGGACAACTGTGAGCAGCCCCAACTCCATGCGCCCCGCACTTGCCTGTCCGGGCTGAGCAGCAGTGGCGGTGGGGAACAAGAAATAAAACAAGTGCTGCTCCTGCCTCTGGTGCTCCCTGTGGCAGCTACCCAGAGCCTACGGGGGCCTGTTATGCCTCTCTTCTGCACCTTCCATGGGGCAGTGGTGGCAACAGAAAATGGGCACAGGCAGCCCTGTGTGGGCTCCAAGCAGATGCCACAGGGAGCACTGGCAGCAGGAGGGAAGGGGTTGCTTTTCCGCTGAGGTCAGCTGCAGTTTGTTCCTTGCTACCACTACCAGCCTGGGTCCTGCACTGGCTCTGGGCTCACCCATCAGGCTGAGCAGCAGCAATAGCAGCAGGGCACAAACTGCTGCTGGGGCGGATGAAAGTGTCCCGCCTCCTTGCTGCCATTGGGTAGTATTTGCTGGGGAAGCCCACACTGTGCTAGGCTCCGCTGCAGCTCCTTTGCTACCAGCTGTGTGCTGCCCAGCACAGCTGCTCCACAAGGCCACTGCTGCCGTGCTGGGCAGCACAGAGCCATCAGCAAAGGAGCTGCGGTGGAGCCTAGCAAGGAGCAGGTTCTGGCAGACTGCCCAGCAGCAGCGGGGAGGGGAGAGGGGAGCGTTTTCCATCCTGCACTCAGCTGCAGTTTGTTCATCACTGTTGCTGCCAGCCTGGGCCCCATGGCAGCTCCAGGCTTGCCTGATGGGCTGAGCGGCAGCAGCGATGAGGCATGAACTGCTGCTGGGGTGGGGGAAAAGTGGCCACTTCCCCTCCCGCTGCTGGCACTCCCTGCATCAGCTGCTTGGAGCCCACATGCCCTCTCTCTGTTGCCAGCCCATAGGTGGTAGGGATGTGGCAGAGAGGCAGGACAGCCTTGTGTGGGCTCTGGGCAGCTGCTGCAAGGAGCACTGGCAGTGGGAGCAGGAGGAGCCACTTTTCCCCTGCACTGAACAGCAGATTGTTTCCCGCCACTGCTGCTTCTTAGCTCGGAGGGGTGAGTGTGGAGTGTGCAGGGTCAGGGCTGCTCATGGTCATCCTTGCCTGTCCTGTGGGGCTGCGACAGGCAGGGCTTGGAACGAGCAGGCATGTAGCCGCAGGGCAGGAGCATGGACCCACACTGGTGCCCTGGGGCCAGCTCCAGCAGGGCCCAGAGCTGGCAGCAGGAGCACAGGGTCTCACCTGGGTGGGGCTCTATGGAGTCGGGCCAGCTCCCCTCTCTCCCTGCTGGCACAGTGCAGCCCGGCTCCATAGACCTCTGCCAGCCTGTTCCCCACGCTCCTGCCGCCTGCCCTGGGCCCCGTCAGTGCTGGCCATGGGACACTGGCGTGGGCCCTGCGGTCGTACACGCCCACATGCTTCCACTCTTCCCAGCCCCGCCACCATTTTCCTCACCTTCCTGGCTGACTCCCCACTCCCTTCTTACCTGAATGTCCCGCTCTGGGCAGGGAGGTGTGAACAGCCCCATGGTCCCAGGCCAGAAGTCCCTGCTAGGGGGTGGGGGTGGGGCCGGGCAGGCCTTGCTATTGCAGGAGCCTGTCAGGGCTTCCCTTGGGTCCTCCCGCCCCTGGCTGCTGTAATCTTTGACAGACAGATAAATGTTAATTTTCTAAATTTTTTAGGGGCCCCATGGGCTGGATAGAATGGCTTGGCAGGCCGGATGCAGCTTGCAGGCTGTATTTTGCCCACCCCTGAGCTATGCGAAGTGCTGGGCGGGTGGTGGATAGAGACCTCTGGAGTGCCTGTAGATGTGTTGGGGGACTGCTCTGACATGCTGTACTTACAGTACGTCGGAGCAGACTTGATTAATCAAGTCTGTTGGAGCGTGCTAATTAGTCTAATGG